TCGTGACAAATTTTCATATCAAAGAAATGATCTAAATAATAAATATAGGAATGAAAATCAAGGATATAGTCCCAAACGTTATGATGAAAGGCGCGGAGATCCTCGTGACCGTGATCGAAACCAGGATTATAAAAATGATAAAATTTGTCGCTACTGCAAACACCCTGGACATCTTATAGAAGAATGTAAACTATTGCAGGCTCGCAAAGAATATGATCGTCGAGCTATGCAACAAGACCAGATGGGAAACAAGCAAGGCCCGTCATCGGACCGCGCGGGGCAGGGCCCGATAACTCAAAACCGCGGAACTTATCCTATAATCAAGAAAGAAGAGGAGGAAAATCCTCTCCAGGACGAATTTACACAGGAATCAATGAACAACGAGACAGATCAGAAAATGGAAACACTTCGCAAAATCTTCGAAATCTAGATATTAATCTCGCCAACCTCGACTTAATACCATGTACCAGAATTTATTCGCCCGATTTAAAAAGACAAGCCCAATTTATTATAGATACCGGCGCGGAAGCCAATCTAATTAAAAAATCGCTCCTCTCTTCAGATACATATCTTGATACCAGTGTGCGTCCGTCACTTAAAGGTATAGGGCATGGATTAGCCCCTACACTTGGACGAGTCATTATTCACATACTTGGGTACCCAATCCCGTTTTACGTAGTACCAGACGAATTTTATATTCCTTATGATGGAATCCTAGGAGCTGAGTTCCTCTTGAATCATTCCGCCAAGGTAGATTATGCTAAACGAATTATTACTTGGAATGAATGGAAAATCCCATTCTTTGAAGAAGAAAGAATCGTTCTCAAAAGCAGAACAGTTACTCTTATGAATGTATTTATTACACATCCTAATCAACTTACGGGCTATATCAGAAGACATGACATTAAGAAGGGCGTTTTCTTTGGCCAATGTATCGTGACACATCGGAATGGCCGAGCATACGTCAAATGTTACAATCTTACAGCTGATCATGTTGAGTTAACAATACCTCAAGTCGAGTCGGAATCATATGAGATTATTGAAAAAATTGAACATGAACCCATAGGAATAAATTCCTGTGAAATACAAACTACAAGATATGAAGAACTTTTAAAACTATTACGTCTAAACCATTTGAATAAGGAAGAAAAGGAACATATTCTAAATCTGGTCGAGGAATACCAGGAATATTTTCATCTCCCTGGAGAACAATTAACCTGTGCCAAAGGAGTCACACATCGAATCAATACTACAGACAATATCCCAATTAACTCTAAACAATATAGATACCCTCCAATCCACAAAGAAGAGATTAATCGGCAAATTCAGGAATTATTAAGGGACGGTATAATTCAGGCATCAAAATCACCATATAATTCACCTTTATGGATTGTACCCAAAAAGCCTGATTCAAACGGAAATAAACGTTGGAGAGTAGTAATAGATTTTCGGG